CGAGTGTTGCAGACGTTAAGTTCAAACTCACTGTGATTAATCCAGGACTTGTTCTTGGCCCATTGTTGCACGGTAATGATCAAGGAACAAGTATTATGGTTAGCTGATTAGTGATTTTGTTCTCATATAATACATTCTTTGACACATCATTCCACTGGCTCGGTTCAGGTGATGGAACGACGATAAATTTCCAAAAAGAACCAGTGAAATCTGGTTATCATGAGTTCGATAGACTCTAGGGCATTGCTCTGGCCGAAGACAGATGACCGTGTGTAAGCAACAGATTACATTTTGATCGATTTGATGGACGTAATTTGAATGTAACCGGTTCGCTGTTTAAAGGTGATACGGCGTTTTATGACACACCAGATGCCAGCGGTACCAAATGTTGAAATGCCATTGGTGGATGTACGAGATGTTGCCAGAGCGCACATCCGTTCGATGACTGAGCCAAAATCAGATGGCCAACGAATCCTACTCGTCTCACAACCAAGCTTTTCATTCATGCAGATCGCTAATACGCTACGGCAGGAATTTGGACCACAAGGTATTTAGGTCGANACTATAAGCTCAATTAGGCAATGAAACGGAAGTTTTTGCGGCGGACGGAAGTTTCGTCCCTCAAGAACGGTCCCTCTCTTGGCCGAGACACGCAAAGCAAGCTGAAATACCCAGTGCAAGCAGTGTTTCTTAAGTTCAAAATCGTCCGTCATGTACCTAACTGACTCTGAGACACTGACAATGTGCGCATTAGCGAATAAGGATGTTGATCGTCGGAAAACTGATTTGAATACACAACGAAATTCGACGAAAAAGCTGAATGTCACTCAATGTGTTTGATTGCATTATTATATTGAAATCCACAGCAATGGCCCAAGGAGAGAGTATGGGATGATAGAGACGGCAAATCGAACCTTGTTCAATTAACCAATCACCATTTCCAGGCTATTATTTCACAAGACTGATAGTTCCATACCCACTACTATGGTTGTATTCATTTATCGACTCCAATTCGACAGTGCTACTGCATAGAGTTGGGCAAAAAGTACGTTTCGAGAACACCAAGGTAAAAAAACGCTAAAACTCAATCAAATATTCTATCTATTATCACCGCTGTGCAAAAAGGATGCAACTGGATGAGCTCCGAAGAATTTTATTAAGTGA